ACCTATCCTTAATCTTTGTGTAGTAACAAGCCTTCTAACTGATTTCCAACTTCTACTTTTAAGTCACTTTTCCCAAGGTTTCAAGGAGAAAACTTGGACAGAAACGAGATTTTGTATTTGAAAATAGAGAAGTTGGCTGAGAAGCATGGATGTACCCCTGCACAACTTGCACTTGCCTGGGTTCTTCACCAAGGAGATGATGTCGCACCTATTCCTGGTGAGTCAACTTCTGTAATTTTCAACATGCACTTTCTATATTCTTGATAGCCTGCAGATATTTCAACTAAAAGTCACAGCAGAAGTAGCATAATTTGCCTTTGTTTAGATAATTGCATTAAGAGCACAACTTTTGACCCTTTCTTTCACTTTTTGTAGGAACAACCAAGATAAAAAATCTTGATAGCAACATTGATTCACTGAAAGTGAAGCTTACAGAAGAAGATTTGAAAGAAATTTGTGAAGTGATTCCGATAAATGAGGTGGCAGGCGATCTTTTGCCGGATTTTTTCAGTCAATTCACATGGAAGTTTGGTAATACACCACCAAAGAAGAACTAGATTTCAACTTAAAATAACTATAGATGCAAAGTATGCAGCAAATGGTTTTGGTGAATGGACTCCCCAGCAACTGAAGCTATTGAAAGATTAGAAGTTTGTACTAAGAGTGCAATACATAAATGAATGGTTCAGTGATAGCAGAAGTCTGCATTACCAAAGTAAACAAATAAGCAGGCTAGTAGTAGCTGTTTTGCTGTTGATTGCTTATCAGAAAAAGGATGCATTTCCTTGTATGGTTCTTCTGTCAGTGATTTGTGGCTAGCAATCTCACGATGGTTATAGTTGGTATTGGTTAAGATGTTATTTCAGAAGTATATGTTTTTGTTGCTCTAATAATATACTTCTTCTTGATCTCTGGTTTTCTCTAATTTTAACTTACTGATGTATTCACATTTACGTAGGTGAATTCTGTAATAAATTAAACTCAAAGAACAAACACAAAAAAAAAATACAAAGTACATATGTCAAAGCAAAAGAGAACATTTTATTTTATAGTTAAGTAAATATACATATACACATAGTATACCACTTAATTAGCTTATTTCCTTTATGAGGAAGAAAATAAAAGAACCTGCAGATATTGGTAAAACTACAGTAACAAATGACAATCAGCTATTATCAAGGGAAAAAAGAAAACAGAGAAACAAGAACAGAATGGCTTGAAGAGAGTTACCTGCTTGAGAGCATTGGACAGAGAGTGACTGAAGCTTTGATTAAGGCATTCCACTCCAGAGTAACCTCCGTTGAGGCTAGTCTGAAGCGCCTTGATGTGGAATACATTGATCTCTACTATCAGCACAGAGTTAACACAAGACTCCAATAGAGGATACTGTAAGTGCTGCAGTGGAAAGCATCGTAACATCATTCTCCGTATATCGGGAATAATAACTCAAATCACATAAGAGATTTGTTTGAAATTTGTTAAAGATTTATTTAAAATTTATCAAATATTACTGGATGGACAAGAAGACTTACAAAAAAAAAATTTTAAGATAAAGAGAATTCTTAATAAGTAAGTTTGACTTATAAGAGAAGAATTCTAAGAGGAGAGATATTTTTAATGTGAAAGTTTGTATGGTTATAAATAGATGAAGTCTATATAAGGTTAGGTATGAGAAAAAGATGTAAGAAAATTATATGATTTTATGGAATAAACACCTCATAGGAGTATTGAGGCTCTACGTCTTATAGGTATGCATGTTTGTTTGTGAGTGGACTAAAAGAGACTGAGAGGGTCCACATAGGTATGATGTGTGGAAGTATATGGATATGTATTTGGTTATGTTGAAAGAGTGCACAAGGGTTTAAATTTTTATTTGTTTGGGTTGAAAAATTAAATTTTGAGTGAGGTTGATGTTTTGATGTATATTTGTAATTTTCTACAACTAGTGGATCTTATTTCTCATTCGTGGACGTAGGTTGATTGGACCGAACCACGTTAAAATTTTATCTTTTGTGTGTTTGATTTATTGTTTGATTTTGCTTCCGCTGGTGTAATTGGATTGAAGTCTTTTAACCTAACACCATACACAATAAAATTACAAAGTCAAAGATCTGCCTTATTTCATACATACTTTCACTTTGAGGCTATGATCCAAAGTTGTTAATATCGTATCGGATAATATTTTTATTTTTTTAAAAAATGTGATATACATCGATACCAACTGTTTGGATATACTATTTTATATTTTTTGGTTTAGTATAAATATATTTATAAATATGCATTAACTTGTATATTATAATATTATTAATAAGCCACAAAATAAATATGTAATATATTCAAATCAAATTAATAAGTTTAAAAACATAAGAAATAATATCATAAAATTTTCATGATATTTTAAAACACTTAATCTGAATATATGATATTTAAATAAATATTTTTTTTCATATAAATATTAAGATAAAAATAAAGAGATGAAAAAAATTAATCAAAACTTTATGATTGTTAAACTTTATAAAATGAGTATAATTGTTTTCTTGAAAAAAACTAAAAACTTATAAATTTTGATTTGAAAAAATAAAATATAAAATTATAAATTTTGGTTTGAAAAAATAAAGTATAAAAAAACAAGTTAAAATAAAAATAAAGAAACTCAACTTTTAAAGATTATTTTATCAATTAATTTTATTTTTATTAGGTTAAAAATAGTTAAATAACAAAAGAAAAGTTAAAAATTACAAAATATATTTCACTTTCACATATCGACTAAAATATATTATTCCACTAAAATTCATCAGAGTAGGTCAAAATTAATGAAAGCAATCAGCATTATTCGATACTAAATTCGATATAAAAAATCATCTTTAGGTATATCATAATTTAATATAACTAAAATATATTGATTGATACGGCTAATACCAAAACGAAAATTAACAACTATGCTGTGATCTTTAGCTGGTTGAACTTAAAGTTAAGCTATTTGCATTTGACTTTCTTTCTTAGATGGTTGAACTCGATAAGTTGTTGGAAGAGGGGAAGATAAAGTACATTGGTTTATCTGAAGCTAGCCCTGATACCATAAAGAGAGCACATGCAGTTCATCCCATAACTGCTTTACAGATGGAGTGGTCACTTTGGACTCGTGACATTGAGGAAGAAATAGTCCCCCTTTGCAGGTTTCTTCTTGTATCTTTAATCATTAAAACTTAACAAAGTTTAAGGCTACTTGAAATTCAAGCTCTAATCTTGATAGTTTCTTTCATTTCCTTAAGTTATGTGTTGTTTGAGTAGTCAGTCTTGAGACTCAATTAACTGAGTCTATCAACAATTACTCGTTGTATTGCAGCAAGCCAAAACATGAGAAATGCCTATTTAAATGTTTTCATCCATATGTAGGGAACTTGGAATTGGGATTGTTCCATATAGCCCTCTTGGTCGTGGTTTCTTTGGCGGCAAAGCAGTTGTGGAAAGTTTGCCTGCAAATACTTTTCTGGTATGGGAACTAACTTATTTATGGCCTTAACCTATCCATGATCTTTGTACAGTAACAAGCCTTTTAAACGATAGATTGGTTTACTGATTGCCAACTTCTACTTTTAAGTCACTTCTCCCAAGGTTTCAGGGAGAAAACTCGGACAGAAACAAGATCTTGTATTTGAAAATAGAGAAGTAGGCTGAGAAGCATGGATGTACCCCTGCACAACTTGCACTTGCCTGGGTTCTTCAAGGAGATGATGTTGCACCTATTCCTGGTGAGTCACCTTCTGTAATTTTCAACATCCACTTTCTATTCCTGATAACCTGTTGATATTTCAACTAAAAGTTATTACAGAAATAGCATAATTGGCCTGAAAATCTTGTACCAAATACCAATGCATATACTAAAATTTGCCTTGTTTAGACAATTGCATTAAGAGCACAACTTTTGACCCTTTCTTTCACTTTTTGTAGGAACAACCAAGATAAAAAATCTTGATAGCAACATTGATTCACTGAAAGTGAAGCTTACAGAAGAAGATTTGAAAGAAATTTGTGACGTGATTCCGATAAATGAGGTAGCTGGCGATGTTATGCCGGATAGTTTAAGTCAATTCACATGGAAGTTTGCCAATACATGGCTGTTTGGGTCACCTGGGCTATAGTTTTTTATCAGTAATTAAGTATCTTCAATTTGAATCGAAATGGTTTGCAATTACTATTTTCCTTCTTTTTTTTTTTTGGGTCTGTGCTTAGTTGCCAGCAATATTCCAATGGCTACAGTTGTTAAGAGCAGTGGTTAAGATGCCATTTCCAGAAAGTTGCTGCTACCATATATTACAAACCATTGCATCTAATGGAAAAAAAACTTGCAGTATAAATATTTCATATAGAGTCGGCGATATATATATTTATATTATAAAATATTAAAATTTATGTATTTTTATCATATTTTATATAAAAATTATATTATAATTATGCCGATATAAAAATATGAAATATATATTTTTTATTTTATTAAATTTATATATAATTATTGTTAAAATTTTATATTGTGACGCTTTTGTATTTTATATTTATATCACATTTATATCATATCATCAAATCATATTTTAAATTATTAAATTTAATTTTCACATAATGTGTAATTTAATTTAATATCGATATTTTACTATTTTTTCCCAATAATATTCATATAATAAAAATTTATATTCAAATTGAGATTTAAATAAATTTGAAACTCAATTAAATCGATTTATATAATTACTTTAATATTTAATAAATTTATATTTTAAATTTTATCACTTATAATTTTTCTTTTAACCTTAAATTGCAGCTTTCTTTGTTTAAAAAAAATTAAGTTTGAAATTCCTATTTTAAAAAATAATTGTTTTAAAAAATTAGGAATTTAAAAATTACCAACCCATGTCTTGGAAATGTATTTAACAAAAAGAGTAAAAATGATTACCTATGGGATGACATATTCAGAATTGATGACATATTTGGTGGCATCAACAAGTTGACAAGTCAACTAATCCTTGGTTCTGGATATAGGGCGGCTAATATTTTTAATTACACTCAGCCCCGTCTTTTAGTTAGTGTATTTTGAGCTGTACGATAAGAATCGAAGAAGCCTCAGTTCAACAGGAACACAGAGGAATAAAAGATGGCTGAGGAGCAGCAGAGAATTCAGATTCCTAGACTGAAACTCGGAACTCAAGGGCTTGAAGTAAGATTCTTTGTTCTTCTGAGAGTAGTCAAGAGAAAGGGTGTTTATATTTTTTACAACTGTTCTTCGGTTTGTGGTTGAACTGATGATATACAGACTGTGTATTAGGATGTTTGATTTACTTGTCAAAATCAAATTCGGACTCTATTTTCTTAAAAACATGCTTGGACTCAACTCTTTAACTCAAATCATAATTTAACTTCTAATCAAATTCACCCCATTTTTGTTTTGAAGACAGAATCTATCTGTCTCATTTCTGTTGTAAAATCCATAATTTTTGTAGGTTTCAAAGTTGGGGTTTGGCTGTATGAACCTCTCTGGAGCATACAATGATCCTGTACCCGATGATGTTGGAATATCAATCATCAAGCACGCATTTGATAGAGGAATTACTTTCTTCGATACATCAGATATCTATGGACCCAAAACTAATGAAATATTGGTTGGAAAGGTAACATGACTCAACAAACTTTTGTTTCTTTTAAATAGGACTCCGATTCTTAAACAAATGACTTTTTTTGTTTATCACATTGATATGATTTATGTTTGTTATTATTCTTATTGGCTTGTTAAAGGCATTCATGAATCTATGAAACCAATATCTTTTTCCAGGCATTGAAGCAACTACCGCGAGAGAAGGTACAGTTAGCCACAAAATTTGGTATTGAAAAAAGGTATTCTAATGGTGTCATAATAATAAATGGCACTCCTGAATATGTCCGCACCTCTGTTGAGGCTAGCCTGAAGCGCCTTGACGTGGAATACATTGATCTCTACTATCAGCATAGAGTTGACACCAGGACTCCAATAGAGGATACTGTAAGTGCTGCAGTGGAAAGCATCGTAACATCATTTCTTCCATAAACAATAAAATTACAAGTCAAAGATCTGCCTTATTTCATGTCAAAGATCTGCCTTATTTCATGCATACTTTCATTTTAAGGCTATGATCCAAAGTTATTAATATCATATCGGATAATATTTTAATTTTTTTTAAAAATATGATATATATTAATACTAATTGTTCAATATATTATTTTAAATTTTTTGATTTAATACAAATATATTTGTAAATATACATAAACTTATATATTATAATATTATTAATAAGCCACAAAATAAATATGTAATATATTCAAATCAAATAAATTAGTTTAAAAACATAAGAAATAATATCGTAAAATTTTTATGATATTTTAAAACACTTAATATGATCATATAATATTTAAATAAATATTTTTTATATAACTATTAAAATAAAAATAAAGAGATAAAAAAAATAATCAAAGCTTTATGATTGTTAAACTTTATAAAATAAGTATAATTGTTGTCTTGAAAAAAACTGAAATACTTATAAACTTTAATTTGAAAAAATAAAATATAAAATTATAAATTTTGGTTTGAAAAAATAAAGTATGAAAAAAAAAGAGTTAAAATAAAAAATTAAGAAACTCAACTTTTAAAGATTATTTTGTCAATTAATTTTATTTTTATTAAATTAAAAATAATTAAATAACAAAAAATAAGTTAAAAATTACAAAATATATTTCACATTCATATACCGATCGAAATATATTATTCCACCAAAATTTACCAAAACAAATCAAAACTAACGAAAACAATCGACATTATCCGATACTAAATTCGATGCAAAAAATCATTTTTAGATATACCGTTTTTTGATATAACTAGAACATACCGATTGATACGACTGATACCACAACGAAATTAACAACTATGCTATGATCTTTAGCTGGTTGAACTTAAAGTTAAGCTATTTGCATTTGACTTTCTCTCTTAGATGGGTGAACTCAAGAAGTTGGTGAAAGAGGGGAAGATAAAGTACATTGGTTTATCTGAAGCTAGCCCTGATACCATAAAGAGAGCACATGCAGTTCATCCCATAACTGCTTTACAGATGGAGTGGTCACTTTGGACTCGTGACATTGAGGAAGAAATAGTCCCCCTTTGCAGGTTTCTTCTTGTATCTTTAATCATGAAAACTTGAACAAAGTTTAAGGCTACTTGAAATTCAAGCTCTAATCTTGATAGTTTGTTTCATTTCCTTAAGTTACGTGTTGTTTGAGTAGTCAGTCTTGAGACTCAATTAACTGAGTCTATCAACAATTACTCGTTGTATTACAGCAAGCCAAAACATGAGAAATGCCTATTTAAATGTTTTCATCCATATGTAGGGAACTTGGAATTGGGATTGTTCCATATAGCCCTCTTGGTCGTGGTTTCTTTGGCGGCAAAGCAGTTGTGGAAAGTTTGCCTGCAAATACCGTTCTGGTATGGGAACTAACTTATTTATGGCCTTAACCTATCCTTGATCTTTGTACAGTAACAAGCCTTTTAAAAGATAGATTGGTTTACTGATTGCCAACTTCTACTTTTAAGTCACTTCTCCCAAGGTTTCAAGGAGAAAACTTGGACAGAAACAAGATCTTGTATTTGAAAATAGAGAAGTTGGCTGAGAAGCATGGATGTACCCCTGCACAACTTGCACTTGCCTGGGTTCTTCACCAAGGAGATGATGTTGCACCCATTCCTGGTGAGTCACCTTCTGTAATTTTCAACATCCACTTTCTATTCTTGATAACCTGTTGATATTTCAACTAAAAGTCATTACGGAAGTAGCATAATTGGCCTGAAAATCTTGCACCAAATACCAATGCATATACTAAAATTTGCCTGGTTTAGACAATTGCATTAAGAGCACAACTTTTGACCCTTTCTTTCACTTTTTGTAGGAACAACCAAGATAAAAAATCTTGATAGCAACATTGATTCACTGAAAGTGAAGCTTACAGAAGAAGATTTGAAAGAAATTTGTGATGTGATTCCGATAAATGAGGTAGCAGGCGATGCTGTGCCGGATAGTTTAAGTCAATTCACATGGAAGTTTGCCAATACACCACCAAAGAAGAACTAGATTTCAACTTAAAATAACTATGGATGCAAAGTATGAAGCAAATGGTTTTGGTGAATGGACTCCCCAGCAACTGAAGCTATTGAAAGATTAGAAGTTTGTACTAAGAGTGCAATACATAAATGAATGGTTCAGTGATAGCAGAAGTCTGCATTACCAAAGTAAACAAATAAGCAGGCTAGTAGTAGCTGTTTTGCTGTTGATTGCTTATCAGAAAAAGGATGCATTTCCTTGTATGGTTCTTCTGTCAGTGATTTGTGGCTAGCAATCTCACGATGGTTATAGTTGGCACTGGTTAAGATGTTATTTCAGAAGTATATGTTTTTATTGCTCTAATAATATACTTCTTCTTGATCTCTTGTTTTCTCTAATTTTAACTTACTGATGGATTCACATTTACATAGTAAATTAAACTCAAAGAACAAACGCATAAAAAAAATACTCAAGGGAAGGAAAAGAGAACATTTCATTTTATAGTTAAGTAAATATGCATATACACATAGTATACCACTTAATTAGCTTATTTCCTCTATGGGGAAGAAAGAAAATTAAAGAACCCGCAGATATTGGTAAAACTACAGTAACAAATGACAATCAGCTATTATCAAGGGAAAAAAGAAAACAGAGAAACAAGAATTGCTTGAAGAGAGTTACCTGCTTGAGAGCATTGGACAGAGAGTGAGTGGAGCTTTGATTAAGGCATTCCACTCCAGAACAGTCAATAATGTCCAAGAGATCAACCTAAACATCCAAAAAAAGTTCCCAATCAAGTAAGCAAAATTTTAAAGTATCCTCATTTGAATTACCCAAAAAACTGAGTTGAGGAAATTGTAAAACAAAAGTCCAATCTTTTAAATTACGCAGAAAACAAAAACTTATTGGAAAAGAATAAAAAACGAATCTTTTCAACTAAAAAACAAACACCATCCAAAAATACCCAATTTCCAGATTCCTTGTTCTCCCACCAAATTTCTCAAGTTTTCTCATAAACCAAACGAAGGGTATCCAGAAAGGAAGAAAGTTTGAAGATTGGAAGACTCACTTGGTTTCTTTGAATTGCAGTAGCTGATTCAGTAGCAGACATGGTTTAAGTTTAAGAGGTTAATGACATTGCTGAGATACAAATTTTGTTTTAAGAAGGACAAACAAGCTGCAGAGAGAGAATAATTGGGGAGAGAGTTAAAGCGGAAAAGAAGATACTAAGACGAGACTTTTACAGTGCCACTATTATGTGTGAAAACTGAATCCTAGGAAAAGAAGAAAACCTTTATGGTTTTATGAAAATTATTAAATTAGTGGTGATAGTTGCTCCGATTTGGATTTTCAGCTTGTTTTTGTAAATGAATTTGTTCTGTTGATTAGGTTGTATAGGCAGATTCACACAACAATGCATATGGTATGGAAATCATCACACCAACTGAACCCATTGAACTTGGTTATAAAACTTTGTTTTATTATAGATTACATATAATCTATAGATTAATCAAAACTTATTGCCCTGCCAACATAGCCACATGATTTATTGATAAAATATTATATTTTTAATACATAATTAAATAATCTCAAATACAATAAAAAAAAATGATTGCCTTTGGCGGCAGTGATGATAAATAATATTCATAAGGGAAGTAATGTTTCATATGTTACAATCTTGTATCTTATTAATGGTTTTTTTTTTAAATTTAATTTGTAGCCTTTAACTCAATTATAAATGCATGTATTTTTTATGCAAAGAATTAGATTGAAATTTTTTGTTTATATATGATTTTGTAGATACGAAAATTGGAATCCCCTTATTCTCAAATAATTGCATCTAATGGAAGAAAACTTGCACATAAATATTTTCACATGATATGTAATCTAATCCAATACCGATATTTTATTATTTTTTTTCAATTATATTCATACGATAAAAGTATATAAACAAATTAAAGATTAAATAAATTTTAAATTTAATTTAATTGATTCATATCGTTACTCTAACGTTTAATAAATTTATATTTTAAATTTTCAACATTTATAATTTTTCTTTTAACCTTAAATTGTAGCTTTCTTTGTTAAAAAAAAAAATTAAAGACGAAATCTGTATTTTAAAAAATGATTGTTTTAAAAAATTAGGAACTTAAATCAACCATACACATTTCATTTTGTTGAAGAATTTTGTTACTAACAAAGGCTCCGTTTATTTTGTAAAGTTTGACTCTCAAAAAATAATTTTTATATTATGATAAAAGAACATAAACAAATTAAAGATTAAATAAATTTTAAATTTAATTTAATTGATTCATATCGTTACTCTAACGTTTAATAAATTTATATTTTAAATTTTCAACATTTATAATTTTTCTTTTAACCTTAAATTGTAGCTTTCTTTGTTAAAAAAAAAAAATTAAAGACGAAATCTGTATTTTAAAAAATGATTGTTTTAAAAAATTAGGAACTTAAATCAACCATACACATTTCATTTTGTTGAAGAATTTTGTTACTAACAAAGGCTCCGTTTATTTTGTAAAGTTTGACTCTCAAAAAATAATTTTTAGAAAATATTTATATTTTTTGGAAAAATAAAGATTTTTTATTATTTAGATGAGTTAATGAAAATATTTTTTGTTGCTTGCTTGTTTTTTGAAATTTCTTTTTTCAAATAATATTAATATAACTATTAAAATTTTAAAAATAATTTATTATTAAAATATATTGAAATTATTTATTATTAAAATTATTAATATTCAAGAATAATTATATTTTAATAATATTATTATATTAATATAAAAAATACTTAAATAAACTATTTATTATTCTTTATATTAATATTTTAAAACATTTAAAAGAGTATTACTATTTTTATTAATATTAAAATAATAATATTTGCTATTAAAGTATTTATAATATTAAAATATTTATATTTTATATTAAAAGTATCTATTATTAAATCATAACAAAAAATTTTTATTTATATTTATTATTAAAATAGTAACATAAATACCTTAATAAATAAAATATAAAATTATATATTTTAAGCTAAAAAAAATAAGAAATTATTAAAAATATTTATATTAAGAAAATAATATTATTATATTATTTAACATTAATTATTAAAATAATAAAAATATTATTATATATGTTATTATTAAAATAATAGTATAATACTATTTAGTATTAAAATAATAAAAATATTTATGTTCAATAATATACAAAATAAAATATTTAAAATTGAAATATAAAAAAAATTTTAATGTTAATATTTTAATTTTTTAATTAAAATTAAATAAAATATATTTATTAATACAATAATATTTCAAGTCGAATCAAATCAAGTTTTAATTAAAAATATTATATTCAAGGTCTTAATTGAGTAGAATTATAACAATATTTAAAATTAAAAATATTAAAAGATTTTAATATTAACATTTTAATTTTTGTAGCAAAATTAAATAAAAACATTATATATCAATATAATAATATATTGAGTAGGGTCAAATTAAGTTTAAACATAAAAGAATCATGTATAAGATCTGATTAAAGTAAAATTATATTCAAACATATTGATAAATAGTTATGCTTATAAATAATTTTTTTTTTCAAAAATTATCTTTTCCTTTTGAAAAGAAAAAGAATAATTATCAAAAAATTTATCTTATTTTTTATTGATCAATAGATTATTTTGTATTGACCAATAAATTTTTTATCAAATAAATACTTAAAAATATAAAAATTAATTTATTAAAAAATTATTTTTTGTAAAACAAACGTAATCAAAATTTGGACTTTCATGGTTTGAGGGAACAAAGTAGGAAATATAACAGCCCATTTCTCTTGGCAATGCAGGATTGTTTATTTCCATCGGACAACATGACCATTCTGCCTCTTCGATTAAGGGTGGAATTGAATCTAGCTGCAGCTCCAATGAAGTACAATTAAATTTTAAAAGCTTTTAATGAAATCCAAACATTAAAATTAATGAGGTGAATTTCATTAAATATAGTATAAAATTTTCATCAAATATAAAAAAAATCTAATAATTTTTTTTTTTAAATCGCAACTACGATAATATTTATTATTTATTTTTAATTTCATCAAAATTAATCTTTCCGTTCATCTAAATTCATCTTAATTCTTTACCTCTTGATATCAACACTTCCTGAAAAATAATTTTCAATGTTTCCAACAAAATTAGCCAAAAAGAAGCGAAGAAGCCTCAGTTCAACAACAGGAACGCAGAGGAGCAAAAGATGGCTGAGGAGCAGCAGAGAATTCAGATTCCTAGAGTGAAACTGGGAACTCAAGGGCTTGAAGTAAGATTCTTTGTTCTTCTGAGAGTAGTCAAGAGAAAGGGTGTTTATAATAACTGTTCTTCAGTTTTGGTTGAACTGAAGATATACAGACTGTGCATTAAAATGTTTGATTTTCATTTCTAAGTCCTCCTATTCGGATTCTATTCTCTTAAAAATATGCTTGGACTCAACTTTTTTTAACTCAAATCATAATTTAACTTTTAATCAAATTCATCCCATTTCCGTTTCTAGGACAGAATTTACCTATCTCATTTCTGTTGTGAAATCCATAACTTTTGTAGGTTTCGAAGTTGGGGTTTGGCTGTATGAGCCTTTCTGGAACATACAATGATCCTGTCCCTGATGATGTTGGAATATCGATCATCAAGCACGCATTTGATAGAGGAATCACTTTCTTCGATACATCAGATATCTATGGACCCAAAACTAATGAAATATTAGTTGGAAAGGTAAGTCTTTCATGTTGAATTGCTACAGCTTCATGATTTTGCTTTTAAATGGGACTCCAATTCTTAAACAAATGACTTTTTTTGTTTATCATATTTGATATGATTTATGTTTGTTATTATTGTTAAAGGAATTCATGAATCTGTGCAACCAATATCTTTTTCCTGGCACTGAAGCAGCTACCGCGAGAGAAGGTACAGTTGGCCACAAAATTTGGTTATTGAAAAATTGAAAAATGGGATTCTACTGGTATCATAGTAAATGGTACGCCTGAATATGTCCGCTCCTCTGTTGAGGCTAGCCTGAATCGCCTTGATGTGGAATACATTGATCTCTACTATCAGCACGGAGTCGACACCAAGACTCCAATAGAGGATACGGTAAGTGATGCAGTAGAAAGCATCATAACATCATTTCTTCCATACACAATAAAATTACAAAGTGATAGATTTGCCTTATTTCATACATACTCTCATTTTGAGGCTATGACGTTTAGCTGGTTGAACTTAAAGTTAATCTATTTGCATTTGACTTTTTTTCTTAGATGGGTGAACTCAAGAAGTTGGTGGAAGAGGGCAAAATAAAGTACATTGGTTTATCTCAACCTAGCCCTGATACTATAAAGAGAGCAAATGCAGTTCATCCCATAACTGCTTTACAGATGGAGTGGTCACTCTGGACTCATGATATTGAGGAAGAAATAGTCCCCCTTTGCAGGTTTCTTCTTGTATCCTGAATCATTAAAACTTAACAAAGTTTAAGGCTACTTGAAATAAAAGCCCTAATCTTGATAGTTTCTTTAATTTCTTAAGTTACAAGTTGTTTAAGTAGTCAGTCTTGAGACTCAATTAACTGAGTCTATCAACAATTACTTGTTGTACTGCAGCAAGCGAAAGCATGAGAAATGCCTATTTAAATGTTTTCATCCCTATGTAGGGAACTTGGAATTGGGATTGTTCCATATAGCCCTCTTGGTCGTGGTTTCTTTGGTGGCAAAGCAGTTGTGGAAAGTTTGCCTGCAAATACTTTTCTGGTATGGGAACTAACTTATTTATGGCGTTAACCTATCCTTAATCTTTGTATAGTAACAAGCCTTTTAAAAGATAGATTGGTTTACTGATTGCCAACTTCTACTTTTAAGTCACTTCTCCCAAGGTTTCAAGGAGAAAACTTGGACAGAAACAAGATCTTGTATTTGAAAATAGAGAAGTTGGCTGAGAAGCATGGATGTACCCCTGCACAACTTGCACTTGCCTGGGTTCTTCACCAAGGAGATGATGTTGCACCTATTCCTGGTGAGTCACCTTCTGTAATTTTCAACATCCACTTTCTATTCTTGATAACCTGCAGATATTTCAACTAAAAGTCACTGCAGAAGTAGCATAATTGGCCTGAAAATATTGTACCAAATACCAATGCATATACTAAAATTTGCCTTATGTAGAAAATTGCATTAAGACCACAACTTTTGACCCTTTCTTCCACTTTTTGTAGGACAACCAAGGTAAAAAATCTTGCTGGCAACATTGATTCACTGAAAGTGAAGCTTACAGAAGAAGATTCGAAAGAAATTTATGATGTGATTCCAATAAATGAGGTAGCAGGCAATGCTATACCGGATGATTTAAGTCAATTGACATGGAAGTTGGTAATACACCACCAAAAAAAACCTAGTTTTCAACTTAAAATTACTATGATGCAAAGCCTGCAGCAAAACATGATGGTTTTGGTAGATGGACTCCCCAGCAACTGAAGCTATTGAAAGACTGGAAATTTGAATTTCTGAGTTACTAACATTGAGATACATTAGTGAAGGGTTCAGTGAGAGCAGAAGTCTGCATTACCAAAATAAACAAATAAGCAGGCTAGTAGTAGTAACTTTGCTGTTGAATGCTCATCAGGAAAAGCTTGTATGGTTTTTCTGCCAGTGATTTGTAGCTAGTAATCTCCCAATGGTTACAGTTGATAATGGCACTGCTTAAGATGTTAATTCAGAAGTATATGTTTTTATTGCTCTAACAATATACTTCTTCTTGATCTCTTTTTTTTCTCAAATTTTAACTTACTGATATATTCACATTTACATAGGTGAATTCTGTAATAAATTAGACTCAAAGAACAAACTCATTAAACTTAGAAAGTATAAAAATGATAAGAACATTTCATTTTATAGTATTTATAACCTAATTCATAACAAAAAGCACCAGTGGTCTAGTGGTAGAATAGTACCCTGCCACGGTACAGACCCGGGTTCGATTCCCGGCTGGTGCATTCTTCATTTTTCCTATAAGAAAACTTGTTACAAATTCCCAGAGTGAAACTGGGCAGCCTGGGAATTGAGGTAGCTAAAAATCTCCTTTTGTTTTCTTGAAATTCCTTGAGCACCCACTTCAGTTTTTGTCGAAAAATCTTAGTTTCATTTGGTTGGATTTGTGTATATCTTAAAACCCATCTTATGGCTGAACCTGTAGATTAAAATTAATTTGGATTGAACATTACTATTCTATTGTTCATGAAAATTTTAAACTTTTTTTACACAGATGGTAAGTAAACCGTGAACGGAGATTTATTTTTTTATTTTTCAGTGCTAAGCTTTTCAGGTAATTCAGTGTACAATTTATTTGAGATTAAGGTGGGATTTGAGAAATGGCAGGTTTTGATCAAGGGGTAACCTTGTATCGTCAGTAATTACTTGAAATGGCAGATGTCCAAATTTTATGTTAAAAATGACCAATTTTGGGCTACCCCTTGTAGCATTGCAGCTAAACATGACATGAGAAAGAATTATTTGCAAAGCTTCCTGTTCCACTTGTTCAGGTTTCAGCCTCAGAATTGAAAAATAGAAATAAGCAGCACTCATATCACTAACTTTTTCTTCAATCAGCATTAGATACAAACTACAGTCCACCACTCAGGAGCCTTGTTGGCTCCAAGCGCAAGATAGACTCATCTTCACATAGCTTGACCATTTCATCCTCTGGCAAGGTTACCATTACCGTCCGTGCAAGCCCTTCTTCTGGAGTAGGCATCACCATAATCAACCCTTCACCGGCTACATTCCCGACATGGTATGCCACATGAGCAGGCTTGACATTTTCTTCAAACATAGCAGTATACATCAAGGATTGATCCCCGTCAACCATATGTTCCGTGTTTACACAGGTTAGTTCAGGGCCATACATCCTAAAGGGTGGTGCAAACTTCCCTCCCTCTCCCTTTTGTGATTCAAGCCAACCCACAGCGGACAAAATCTCTTCTTCCTTGATCCCTACCAAGTGGCCATGCACTGCATCCACCACATGTCCTAACTCACCAGGAATCATATCTTTCTCCCTCAATGACAGCAGTGAAAAATGCAATGCATTTCCAAAATAGCCGCAAGGAAGTGGTTCTTTCAACAGCCTCCTGAAGTCTATACAGATTGAGAGGGAGTGTGTATGTTCATCTTTAGATCCCTTTAAACGCGCAACGCTCATCCAAAAGATTGCAGCTAGCAGATCAAATGGTGTAGCATCAGGGCAGTTAACACGAATTTCTGATAGGCATTGTTTGATTACTGAATTAGAGAACTTGAAGGTAGTTGAGGCCATTTTCACCGAGGGAGCTTCTGCAATAGACTTGGTTACATAATACTTAGCTGATTTAGTATTAGCTTTGGGAAGTGGTCGACCATGGAGAGCAGATGAGAAGACCGGTGGATTTGCAATGGCTTGCTGCTGGTGAACCTCAGTCCAAGTCTTAAAGAATAGGATTAAAGACGTTAGGTCAGCGTTCATGTGGGAGCAGTTTATGCCAATTGCTATACCCCCTCCTTCAAATTCACTGACCTGTAAAACCAGAAGGAAAAAATTGGTGCCTTAACACTGCCATTAAAGTTGGCTGTAGACTTTCTTACCAATTACCAACCTCAATCAATATACAATTATTACAGAATTACTCATTGCTTCAGCCAAGAATTAAGAAAGTAGTACTAGAAAACTAAAAGTTGAATTATACTAATCCGAAAAACCTGACCAATAGAAAGTTTAAATTTTAACCAATGCCAATAATTAAAAAAACCAAATGTTTAAACAACTTCCATGACAGAGAATTCCAAAATATACTCAAGTTCTTATATATATATATATATATATATATATATATATATCAAAGCTAATCAATTAAGACGTTAAAACAAATAAATCACATCAATCATTATTAAGAGATAATATCTAATAAATAACGACGAATCCAAATTATTTTTGAGGTATTCACTTAAAATATATATAAAACATTATCAATAAATTTACTGATTTTATCAATAAAAAAGGTATTAAAAAAGTTTTGAGAGTGTTAGGGGAAATTTTCCTTCAAATTTTTTTATTTTTTAATTTTTAGAAATGTTCAGAACAAATTTTGAAGATATTCCAAAGAAAATTCTCCTTTAAACTTTCTTATTTTTCAATTTTTAATGTCACTCTATCAATAGATTTTGAAATTCAAATCTTAATGCCTATAACTCCTATCCAAGTTACAACCTCTTTGTCCAGATTAAAGAGCAATCCAACAAGCTTGCAATCCCAAATGTCAACGTATTTTACATGCATGCATGAATCATTTCATACATATATACATATATATATATATATACACGCGCGTGTGTGTAAGTAAATCAATAGAAAATTTAAAAGAATTCTTTAACTTTATTTACATAAAATACCTGAATTCGAAAAGGTGACCATGTATTTGGATTTTCAGGCATCTCCTCCCAAAAAGCCAAATCTTTTTCCTCAATTCCATTGGCATATTTCAACCATTCATCAATCCTGACACTCACTTTAGCCCTTACAACTCTAACACCAGCATCATTACACTTCACTTCCCAATTACCTGCCTCCCCTCGGGTCAACCGACCCGTAACAGGCGAGTACAACGAAAGGGTCTCAGATAATGACACCCTTAACGGGTCCCAGTCAAATGACCGGAATGGATTTTTCTCATAGTAAAAGACAAGATGCAAGCTGTGCTGCCCCATGGCTTGGTCCAATGGAGTTAACAGGTGAGTCTTACCTGGCTCTACCGGGTGGCTGGACACTGCGGTTAACTTGGAGCACACGAGAACCTTGCTCCTTTGCTCACTCATTGTCAAAAAATTCAGAGGGAGAAGAAATAGTTTGGATACTTGCAAATTTATGAGACTAGCTAAAATTTATAGAACAAAAACTAAAGTGGGTAAAGATTTCCGCATTTATTACACAACCACATTAACAACAGTTAAACATTCATCTTAAAATCAATTAATAGTAGGTGGAAAGGCCAACAAATTTATAAAACAAAATCTAACATAGTTGGAGATTTCCATTCTACATTTATTGCACAATCACATTGACACTGTTAAGTATTCAATTTAAAATCAATTGATCATATATTACATAACTCACTTTAATAAGATTTCACATGATTTTCATCATGTATAGACGAAGATGAAAGAAACTTTCTACATAATTAAGTATTCAACTGAAAATCAATTGATCAGATGTCAAATAATCTACTTTAATAAGTTTCTACGTAACTCCTATTATATATAGGTAAAGATAAAATAAGCCTTTTATCGTAAATAAGCAACATAAAAAAAGTCTTAGTTTTAATATCATGTTAAGTATACAATTTAAACTTAATTAATAATAGATGAAAAAGATCAACTTGAAAATAAAATTATAAAATATTATAAATTTATTAGATATAAGATATCCTACTTTAACAACAACTATAGAATTATTTACATTATGCGATTTTGTTCTACTTTCAACAATCCTATTTCTTACAAAAAAACATGGATGTCAGCAACCATGTGACTTGTTTATTGCTGAATTTTTAATTTTAATGATCTGTATTAAGACCTGATAATCTTAAATATATAAAAAATAAATAATAATTCTATAGATGTATATATATATTCTTTGGTTTGACAAAGTATTGGATGCTTTATTATTTATCCATATAATGTGGTTCAGGGTTGCAGGGAAGATGGGAATTAAAGAGGGAAGCTGGTGTTGGTTGAGCTTTGAGTTTGAAATAAATGCAGATTGCAGATCATTCATTCCTGGCTTGCAGGCATGGCAGAAGAACAAAGGGCTGTTATAAATTTCAAAGACTTTTTTGGCCTAATGGTGGGAAATTATATATATTATCAAATTGTATAATTGTATAAAGAACATATATATGGAATCCAAATTAAGGTGATTCCTAACAGTCTTCAAGTTTCTTGTTTTGGCCTAAACCAAACAGTCTTCAGCTGGCTGCACCATTTTTATGTAAAAAGAAAGTAAGAAGAAAATAAATACCTTAGACAGGAGGCTTTTTGCTTTTTGGTAAGAAAATGATGGCGAAAATAATGTCATCGTTTCAGAGAGTGAAGTATCAGTGATCCAAAAATAGTGATCACCTAAATTATTTCCTTCCTAATGAAGTATTCTCCAAATTTCAAACCCATACCTTTTGACGAGTAAAATCCATTTGGGGTCAAATTGCTTAGCACTAACCCACACCTCGTTGATAACCTTAGACAGAAGTTTTAAATCCATATTGCAGGGATTTTTCAACTGCCTTCATTCTTGATGGAGTATGAACTAATTGACCACTCCAAAATTATAAAAAAAAAAAAGGTAAAAAGCTGTGAAAACCTTTGAATAGAATTAGATATTATTCAATCAACTGTTCCAAATACTTGAAATTAATGGGGTTTAAATTCAGAGAACTTTCATTCAAATGATATTTGAACTATTTTCAAACAGTATTTATATTATAAGTTGTCGTTAATCAAACCCTTATATCTTATACTTTTTTCTTTGTTATTGTATTAAAGCTTCAATCTAATTACCTTGAAATGCTTAATCATCATAATCACGTATAATAATATTAATGTTTTAGGTTTTTCTCTCAAAAAATTAAACTGTCAAAAAAAAAAAAAGAGTCAATCCGACCCAATCCATTAGCCTAGACCTACCCATGGAATCCAGGCATGGCCCATACTGAGAAGAAGCAAAAAAGAAGGGTAAATCAATCCCTTTATCATGGGCCTACCTTTGCCCATGTTGTGTCACAAGATCAGATGACTCTTTTAAGAATGATTTACATTAATACACTGAAAATCATTAATTCAAGATAATCAGTTCCATTACCGATTGATCTTTAAATTAATTGATATGTTATTAAAGCTGATGCTTAGAGAATATGAATTCGAAAAAATTTATATGCGTAATGTCTTTTTCAACCAAATAAAAACATTTATGCAGACCATGTAGATATTTGATCTTACTTAGCATTTAGTCTTTATCCTAACAGGGTAGTGGAGGGAAGCAACAATGGAGGATCTAGCTGGCATGTTTTGGATGAACGAACTTCTCCGGTGTTTGATAAACGTTTTCAACCAAGAACACATATAAGATAAGGTCAACAGGTTTCTCATCGAATATTTTCAGGTAAACTATTTTTGTTCATAGTTAGTTGAAATGCAATTAAAACCTTTACTGAACAATATAATGGATGGCAGATTTCTGTTTTTGCAGTGAGAGAAGTTCAATCAACTTCAGGGCTGCAAGCAGGTAACATGTTTCAATAATGAATATCATGAAAACAATCACATAAACTGAAAAACTAAGACAACAGTTGGATGTAACAGCTGATGCAGTCACAAACATAATTCAGCTAAATAGAAAGCTCTATTTTTGTTATCAAAGTATTTTAGAAGGCAAAATGATCAAAATTAGAAAAAAAAATGAAAGAAGAAAAGATAAACAATGTTATAGTGTCAAAAGCCATAAGGAGTTCATCCATCTTTCTTGCTTTCCATTCAGCTCCTTTCAGGGTCAATGATCCTCAATCTTCTTCAACCCCTTCATGTCTGTCGTTTCCACCCTGCATTACAGACAAAATATCATAGAGTTTACCGTAAATATCAACGTACGTATGTATAATGGAAGCCGGACTGTCTGGCTACTGCAATTGTGAGAGGAAGTGCAAATGCTATATGCATCTAGGCTTGTTGAAAATTTGGGGAAAATAGTTCCCGTATACAAGTAGTGATACTCCTTTAGGACCCAAAGTTGGCATGATGAAATGAACTTGGTAGATATAAATTATTGTTTCTTCAAGCAGGAAATGCATGGAAATCTATATTTAAAGTCAACATATAACTTTGACAGGGCATTCACTAATGACAAACTTATATTCAAAGGGGGATTCAACATATCATGTTGAGCCTTCTCTAGCCACAATGCTGAAGGTAAAAGTATGTCACCCATGCAATGGCAGTAAAGATGAGAACATGCTTACCCAAAGCCTAGTCCTAGAACTAATTGGAAATATGTATAAACCCAACTAACATAACAGCCAACAGAAGAAATGAAGTGAACAAATCCTCAGGAATGTAGATATCGTTGCCTCTAAAGTGATCTAGAAACCCGTAGTTACATATGGACAGAAAAACAAAACCAAATTATGTTCATTCAATGCTCTTGTTTGCTACATCAATAGTTTTAGGTAATGCAAACAAGTTCTTGCTTCAAGTAGTTCCAGAATTGTTAGGTGCGAAAAAGAGCACAACGACAATTTGATACTCACAAGTATTGCTCTTTTTCCTTACTAGTAAGTAATAAGCATCACAGTACTTTAAAAATGAGTTCACAAGTGACCAAAGCATAAGCTCATGCCTTGAACAAGATGTAAATCATAAACATATCTATCGTATAGTAGGAAGGAACTAGGAAATTAAAATTACTAGTTGAAGGGACATATTGTGCTGTAGTGAAAATTGTAGCAAATGACATAAAATAGTGTAGAGAACTAGGAGCTATAACTACTAAAACTTACGTTGATCCGTATAAAGCAATCTTCTGAACTTTTGTGATTTCAGAACCCATGATTGTCTTCGATAAATATTATCAAGCTGGTAAACATAATAAAGTAAGATTAATAATAATTTTCTTAATCACATGATAAAGACTAAATGCAGCGCATCAGTGCACAAACCATAAACATACCTCCGAACATTCTGAAACTTGACATACTTCAAGACTACTGGTTTCCCCTACAAAAACAGAGAGTGAATGTTGTAAGATTTACCAGTTTACAGTGATTTCTTAATATACACTTGTTACAGAATAGTTTCCTGACAATGGAAAGACGGACAAAGAAGAGCTACCTTTAGATTAGCTGGGGATAAAACAGAAGTGTCACTTGGAGGGAAGTCACCGACATTACTGCATAAAGCACAGTGAAATATCATCAGTGAAATAATAAGTGCTTAAAATTAATAAACCAATTGCGAGAATGTAATAATTCCATCGGCATTACCTAAACCCCATATGTTCCTTGTTCGTAAAAAGTTTCACCGTCTTTGGACCTTAAAAGACAACCTTCATGTTAAAATACTACAACAATCCACAACCTCAAAGGTAATTCTACTAGGGTAAAATTTGAAACAAGCATTTCATCAGTGGAATAAGTCAATAGGACTTGGCTTCAATGTGATTGAATTCAAGCTCAGATGCATAAGTATTAATAAAGATATATGAAAAGGAAAATATACACAAAATTTTACCTTCCTCTTCAGATCCCTTGATGACAATGGAATGAAGTTTAATGACTTGAGTGAAAGGGATATAAATCAGAAGTTGTTCATCTGCATCACTCTCAAGGTTCAAGCCTTCATCTTCTCTATAACCCTAATTCATGAGCATAAAAGATAAACACGTGACCTTTACATTGAACAATGAAGCAAACCTTAAAAAGCGAATGTTTGAAAAGAACTTCACTAAAACCATTATTTTTGCACACACAAAAGAAAACATGTCTGCCTAAATAATTTAATAACAAATTACAATCAGCTACTATCAAGGGAAAAATGAAAACAGAGAAACAAGAATTGCTTGAAGAGAGTTACCTGCTTGAGAGCATTGGACAGAGAGTGAGTGGAGCTTTGATTAAGGCATTCCACTCCAGACCAATCAATAAAGTCCAAGAGATCAACCTAATCATCCAAAAAAAAGTTCCCAATCAAGTAAACAAAATTTTAAAGAATCCTCATTTGAATTACCCAAAAAACTGTGTTGAAAAAATTTTAAAACAAAAGTCGAATCTTTTAAATTACCCAGAAAAAAAAAAAAAAAAAAAAACTCACTTAAAAAGAATAAAAAACGAATCTTTTCAAGTTAAAAAAAAAAAATCCAAAAATACCCACTTTCCAGATTCCTTGTTTTCCCCCCAAATTTCTCTAAGGTTTCTCAGAAACCAAACAAAGGTAGTCCAAAAAGGAAGAATCTTGGAAGATTGGAAGACTCACTTGGTTTCCTTGCATTGCAGAAGCTGATCCAGTAGCAGACATGGTTTAAGTTTAAGAGGTTAATGAGATTGCTGAGAAACAAATTTTGTTATGAGAAGGAAAAAGAACGTGCGGAGAGAGAACAATTGGAGAGAAAGTTATAGCGGAAAAAAGACGTTAAGACAACACTTATATAGTGCCACTGTCATGGGTGAAAACTGAATCCTAGGAAACGAAGAAAAACTTACCCAGTCTGCAACAATCTGAAACGTGGCCGTTAATTACAAAGACATGTTTTGGTTGGACTACTAAAGTACAAATCTAATCCAAACTCCCCAACCCCAATGGCCCAAGACCTCTGTTTCTTATGTGAAGTGAAGAGGGAAGATGTCTCTTAAACAAACAAGATTATGCCCAACCAGCCAACAAAATCAGCCACCCCATTTACCAACCAAACCTCAGAAATCCCTTTTCCTATCCTTCCTTCCATCTATAACCTCAGAATAGAACAACACAGATCAAACCAAAGCAAAAACCAGCCATTGGCCACTGGCCACTGGCCACAACCCCTGATCAAATCAAAACCCTACAAAAACTAGATAGAAAAGCGAAAAATAAAACATCCCGAAACACTCCAAATTCCAAAAGCCCCATTCACCAAAAACCAATGGCTTCCTTATCCCTGCAATTCTCCTCCCTCCACTACACCTCCACCGCCCCTCTTACCCTACGCATCGCCCCTCTTAACCTACGTACCCCAACCCAGAAACCATTCTCCATCAGGTCCCAATCCGCCCCTGTCCTTTCCCAAGATGATCTCAAAAAACTTGCAGCTGACAAAGCAGTTGAGTCAGTTAAGTCGGGCATGATCCTAGGACTAGGAACAGGCTCAACAGCAGCTTTTGTGGTTGACAAACTTGGCCAACTTCTTTCTACTGGTCAACTTTCTAACATCATAGGAATCCCAACCTCAAAAAGAACACAAGAACAAGCTGCATCACTTAACATCCCCCTATCTACCCTTGACATGCATCCCCATATTGACCTTGCTATTGATGGTGCTGATGAAGTTGATTCTAACCTTGACTTAGTTAAAGGCCGAGGTGGCGCTCTTTTGCGTGAAAAAATGGTTGAAGCAGCTTCATCTTCCTTCATTGTTGTAGCTGATGATAGTAAGCTTGTTTCAGGGCTTGGAGGAAGTGGTTTAGCTATGCCTGTTGAAGTTGTGCAGTTTTGTTGGAAATATAATTTAGTTAGACTTGAAGGGTTGTTTAAAGAGTTGGGTTGTGAAGCAGAGTTGAGGTTAGTAGGGATGGTAGTGAAAAGCCTTATGTAACTGATAATGGGAATTATATTGTGGATTTGTATTTTAAGAATCCAATAAAAGATGGATTTGGAGCTGGGAAAGAGATTTCTGCCTTGGAAGGAGTAGTAGAACATGGGTTGTTTTTAGGGATGGCCACCTCTGTTATTATTGCTGGGAAGACCGGTATGGAGGTTATGACTAAGTGATAAAAGAAAAGTGAGACAGAGGTGAGGTGGAAGTTTTATTTTTTGTTGTCTGCTACTTGATGTTTGAGGGGATTTTAATTTATGTGGGGGGTAATTTGTTGCAAAAATTTTGGATTTTGATGTTGTGTGGAGTAATTGAACAATTTGGAATTTTGTGATTTCGGAAATTAAAATGAATTGGTTAATGATTATGTAGTTTTTTTATTCTTAGCAATGGTCTATTTAGTTTCCATGCTGCTGTGGTTGTTTCTGAAGTTCTTGGGTCAGATTCATTTAAGGGTTTATTATGTTGTTTGTTATGGTTTGAGTAATTTGTGGGATAATTTGTTGCAAAAGTTTGGATTTTGATATTGTATAGACCAATTGTAGAATGTGGAATAATTGGCATTTGGAAACGGCCTGAGTTGCTTAATGCTTGTATAGTTACGTGGTTTTGGGAATGGCCTACATTGGTTTTCATGTTAAATTGTGGTGGTTTCAATTTGTTTCCTAATTTCTTATAAATAGAAGTAATGAAACATTGAACTTGTAAGCAGCCATATGAACCCTGTAGCATATAGGAGGACATTTTCAGAGTGAATCTGTTAGCATCATGCCTGAGATTTGTTGTTTGTGCCTGCCTTTCCATTAATCATCTAAGATTGTAGAACTGAAGACAGGGTGAATCTGTACATTAAGAAGCCTGACCTGATAGTCTTAAATACTCTGCTTTGGGTTTGTAATAGGTTCTTTGGTATCTACTGTTTATAAGTCTCATTCAAACAGTAAATGATTTATCCCTTCATATGGCTTTGTCCCAACTGGATTTTAGAGTACCATGGTGCAGTCACTTAGCCACTTTGCCTAAACGTCTCAGCGTTGTTATGCACTTTTATCCAACAAGGTAACCTGTTCCTCATGAACATCTTTCAGAAATGTCCAGGTTAGTGACTGTAGTCTGAACTCAGAAAATCAGTGAAAAGATGTGAACTATGATGTTTCAAAGACAATTTTCATGATGCTTTAAAGTTTTATTGTCATCTTATTCCTTCAATTGCAGCTTCTCCCTTTAGTTTGGATGGAAAACTTCATGACTTTGATATTTATTTCATGGTTCAGTATAAATAAATGTCAGGTAAAATTTCATGTTCTAAGCAGGCATCTAATTGAACTTCTGTGAGAAGTGGGATTGGTAGAATAGGAGCTACAACCTTTATTAAGTTTCTGAAATTTGGCAAAGATGCTTTCTCTTCTTTTTTTTTCTGTTGTTTTTTATAAATAATTTGTCAAAGATGCATACTAATTTGTTTGAACTTTGAACTGATCAACTTATTTGTGCATACAACCACTTTTGTTAAGGCATTGACATATTGTTTACTGAATCATGAATGTGAAGATATGGTTTTCAAAGATGGCTATGGAATAAAAGAATTTATTATTGCCTTACTGTAAAGTATGGAGTGAGACAACTAGAAATTTAGATGGCAATAGGATTTTAGTATGATATCTATCTCTTTACGTGCTTATACGTCCTATCGCGTTCATCATATCCTAAATCCTTGGGATGGACATATGTAGGGTTGATCTTACATTTGAAGTCATTTTCATTTGAATGGACATAAATTAATGTTGATTATCAGTCATACAAGAAACATCTAGCTCAGAATCAGTTATGTTTACTAAGCAAATTTGTATCATGGTGCAGTTTAGTTGTGCCTTTTTTGTTCTTAGTCTTAGCTTGAATTACAAGAGAAAAAAAAAGTTAGTGACTTGGGATGGGGCGTATAGGGCAGGTTTTGATTGGGGATATAACTTTTTGTGCTTGAGACAAACTAGTTTATTGGTAAATAACAAAAAATAATAAAGCTACTTTATTTTATATTCAAAAAGAACTATAATAGAGTTCTCTACACAGCAATCATCCCTCACTACGCCCGACTTCTTTTACTTACATATATGGACTGAAACAACATGGAAGAATCTGACTGAATAATCAAATGAACACAATACATCGAATAATAAAATCAACACGATACATCAAATATCCAAGTATAATCGACTCTCGTATGATGACACTAAAGGCTAGTGAGCTGAGGGTCTGATTTACTCAACTTCCTACTTCCATAGAACCATAACCATGGACATCACCAAAATAGCCGCCCAATGAAGCTTCCCTGGCAGGAATGTGCTAGCTGAAAAACAAGATACAGAGCAAGAAGGATCAGAATTTGAAACAGAAAAAATGTCAAACTAATGCGTTTTTGGCTGTCACATGAAGTTATATATGTGAGCCTTTTAGTCAATGTTGTACAAATGTAAGCATTTAAAACACAAGCAATCTCAAGTTGAAAAGAGAGCTAGAGCTTAGAATAAGGATAAGGAGCTGAAAACTGATCCTGGGTTTGACTTATTTTCTCAAGCAACGCTTGGCAGTACAGGAAAGGAGCACCTTCATTCATCGGGCAACTTGGTTTTGATAAATTTCTAATGAGAAGTTGAATATTTCTAACACAGATGGTATGTGTGCCTTAATACTCATATTTTGTTAAGAAAGTTTGCATCACCTTTTCCACCAGCTGGTGTTGATTGCTGATTTGAAACTGTAATCCCAAGGCGGGAGCAATCCGATCCAAGTGTACCTTAGAAATCAATAACCATGAGTTTGATCAGTTTCTTTCAGTTTGTTGCTCTTAATTAAACTTCAATAATTCTTCACTGAAATTTCGAGTTCGAGTTCTTACATTGACTGTAGCAAGGAAAGTATGTTCTGTTGAGAAGATTGGAGTACCCAGGGTTGCATTCACATATGTGCTTGTATGTTGCTGTTTTGTTGCATGTTCCTTCTCCACAGTAAATCCAGTAGCAAGCTATCAAGCCAACCACAAATTAAAAAAAAAAAAAAAGTAAGAAGCTGAAAGCTATGACAGATTTGGGGAAAAACTGAATAAATGACAGTTGCTGTCAAGATGATTACGATCAAAGAAAGATGAATTGTGAGGAACTTCTTTCTCGGGTACTGGAGGAGGAGCTGGCTGGCAAGAGTAATCAAGAGTACCTGCAACAAACCAAAAGTTTGCTTGATCAACTTCCTAAATTGAATCATATTCTGCTATGTTTAGAAGAAACAGATAAAAGAGGAAAAAGAACTTACAGTTTGGAATCACACATGGTAGAAACTTGAGATCATCATCACTGTCGTCGTCATATCTAGTTCTCTTCCAACCAGCATCACACTCACAGATGTAGTTCAAAGGGTACCTTATGTCTGCTTTGCATGTTCCCTTTCCACACTCAACATCATCACACACCTTTTCTGTTTTTCACCCAGAAAAAAAACTATACCAGTTAGTGTATCAGATGCCATATTTTCATTGAAAACTCCATATTTATCCGTGTAAGATTGACAAAAGAGAGGAGAGGAGGAAGGTACCATAGAAAGGAGCCAGGGCAGGTGATAAGTCACCAAGATCACCTATAGCAGCGTTAGGCAAAAAGACGAGAAGCAAAGCTGCAATAGCTAAAATTTTGTATGATTCCATTTTCTCCGAAAGTGAATGAGAGATTGAACTACAACTGGAGAAACTGAAGCTAGTGTTGGTAAAAGGATTCTTATATAAGTTAACAAAGATTGAATTTTCTTTGCCACCAAACACCATAAAAATAAAAATAAAAAACAAGGAAATGAGAACGAAAATTTGAAGTTGTAAAATCAGTATATTATTAAAGAATTCTTGATATGGTTAAGTCAAAGAAAATTTTCATTTTTTTACTAAGTAGAAGCTTCTGCAGGCTAAAGATCAATTCAAGATACAGACTTGAAATAGTGCACCAATTTTTTTTTAACTAATTTTAGTTTTGAATAGGTCTCTCAATTTCATTTTATTGGGTTTTATTTCTTTTTTATAAATCACTATCAATATGATCTAGTTTCTTTGCAATGTTGCATTTGTTAGTAAATCTCGCGATTTATATATTCGTATCGTATAAAATATTAAAATTTATATATTTATATTATATTTTATAAAAAAATTATATATAATATCTGTATCAATATAAAAATATATAATATATTTTTTAATTTTATTAATTTTATATATTATTATTATTAAAATTTTAAATTATATTTTTTTATATTTTAATTTTGCATCATATTCATTTTTTATTATAATATCATATTTTAAATTATACGTCTATTTGTTGATTTTTTTAATTATAGAAAATTTACCTTGAACAAGCTTTTCACACACGTTCCTTTTGGCGTAACCTAAAATTAGTTGGTGATGGGAAATTTTATGCAACCAAATGTCAACAAAGAGATTGCGGTCCCAATTGGCATTTGTAGAATACAAGCTAGAAGCTTCCAAAACATGACAAATTCACAATAAAGAATTAAAAAAAAAAACATGGATTAGAGATATAATTACCAGCATTTTTCTTTTTTTTTTTTCTTTTTTCTGGGGTTATTTTGATCATTTAAAAAAAATTGTTTTATCAACATCGTATAGAGCTTTCTATTTAAAGAAGGGGACAGAGCCCGAATAAGTTTTGATGTCACGCCTAGCGGTGTGCGATAGGTTAATTCAATCCGTTCGATTTTTAAAAATAAAAATGAAGAGGTCGTTAAATATTATTGTATATTTTATATTTAAAAATTTTTATTTTATTTCATTTTTAATTTATTAAATTTAAAAACATGTTTGAATAAATTTTTAAAAAAATATAAAAACAAAAATATGTAAAAAAATATAGTTAAAATTTTAAAATCTTAAAAGAAAAAGATTGGATTCATGTAATAATTAAAATTGTTAAACTATATCTCTACTATAACCGAGCAGGTAAACAGTATCAATGCGGTTATAAGCCTTTTTTTTTTTTAATTTTGAAAATTTCATTTTTCTGTTTTCAATAATTTTTAAAAAAATTTTCAATATTTTATTTTTAATTTTACAAACAAAAAACAAAACAAATCCAGCATGTTTACTTTTGTTTCCCTTTTTTATCATCAATTTCATATTTGTCATTTTTAAAAATATAAATAAAAATATTATACATGTAATATATTTAAAAATTTATTAAGAGCAATTGGATTATTAATTTTAAAAATTAAAAACCAATCAAATTAATCGATTAAACCATTTTATTGAACTGATCATTATCAAAATCAAACAAGACGAACTGATGTAAGTGAATTCAATCCAATGTAATTGATGAAATGGATTGAAACCTACTTAGCACAAATAGCCACCGTCTAGAAAAACTCAGGTTTTTAACACAAATTTTCAAAACTGATGTTCTATTCTAGAAGTAGCCTGCCTAATCAATCCTCTTTGAGCCTAGAAAGTCAAATTTTCCTTACAACAGCAATAGTTACGAAGCAAACATGATAATTAAATATCAAATTGTGGAGGGTAGATTTTCTACGAGTTTTAATGAACAAGTCAAAAAAATAAAATAATTTTTTTAAAAGCAACATGGGTTTAGCTTGAGTGATAAGGGTGTTAAAACTTAGAATACAAATCTTAAATTCGAGTTCTAAAACTTTTTTTTTCTAATTACATTAAAAAAAAAAGGTTAAAAAAATAGTTTGGACCTTAAATTAAATAAATAATTTTTGAAAAAAAAAAAATCAAAATCTCATTCACCATTTGCAAACTTTGTCTGTAGTTACCTCAATTTGCCTTTAGTAAACATAGTAAAAAATGTAAACTTTAGAATATAATGTTAATGGAGAAACAAAATCAAATAACTTAAAAAAAAATCAAATTACCCTTGTTAGAGAAGATGTTTGATCATATTTGATGTATAGATAATATTATTATATATTATATTTGATTTGTATTTAAATATGAATATAATTGAAAGGATGATTCATCATGGTATATAATAATTCAATCCTTCTAAAGTATAAAAGATTATTTTTAATTTATCATATTGAATTTACATATCATATTATATCTATAAAAACTATATTAATAATTTAAATTGTATAAATAAGATCGAAGTAGGATGTGTTTAATGCACAACATTATAGTAAGGTAAGATAAAATGCTATTATAAATATAATTATATTAAATAATATCATCATATCTTATACTTCAATATACAAGGATTAAGATATATATGATAATTTTATTTATTAACCAAAATTATTATTTTTTAAAATTTATATAATTTAAATTATCAATGTAATTTTTAAAAATATAATAGGACATACATAAACTACTATTTGTTTTAACTTGGAAATTGCTAGTTTTAGATTTGAACATTAGGGCTTAACTTTCATCTTATAGATGTTTTTAGATTTAACGATTCGTATATTTATATCATGTAAAATGTTAAAATTTATGTATTTATATTATATTTTACATAAAAATTATTTATCATAATTTATATTGACATAAAAATATGAAATATATTTTTTTAATTTTATTAAATTCATATATAATTATTGTTAAAATTTTAAATCATATCACATTTGTATCCTATTTTTGAATTATATTTGTGTTATGTTATTATATTATACATTAGATTGCTTGATAAATTTGCCTTTGATTTTTTATTATTTGTCCTTATTTATTATATTCATTTTTTATTCAAAAAACAGTGTTGTACTTTATTGTATTGATTTGACAGAAATAAAAGTTAGTTGAACTGGGATCGATAAATTTTCTTTCCAATATATTTTCTTGAATATACAACTTGAAGTCACAATATGTCACCGCATCACATTTTTTTTTTTTGTTCAAAATTAAAAGTTAGGTATGGGAGCAAGATTTGGTATATGTATATAAATAATTAGGGGAGAAAACAATGGAAGAATAACATTAAATTCAAAGTGAAACACATTTTATGTTGTCTTTTAGGACTATTGGCCTTATAAAATAAGGGCACCCATGCATAACATAAATATCAGCAATATTTTTAATACTATTATATTGAACTATATATTGATTAAAAACCTTTGTGGGATTTGGTTTACCCAATTAATTCAGATAAATGTTTTCATGCATTTTCATTGAGAATGACAACTAACACTCGACTTTCACCAAATTTAATTCGAAGGAAAAATGACAAATATAGATAAAAATAAGGTTTCACATTCTTTAAAAATAAAAAAGGAAACTAAAATAATTAAAAAAAAAAAAAAAAAAACCCTCATCAATTTCACTAGCCGCCGATCCAGAATTCCCTGAAAAAAAAAAAAAAAAAAAAAAAAAAAAAAAAAAAAACATTATCCAGGTTCAGTTTGCCGAAGAACATAAATTCCACAAGTGTGGCCTAATATCCCTGGCATAGCAGCACAGTCATTACCCATATCCGCGAGGGAGAAATACCCTTCAAGAGCAAAACCAGTCACAGGCTCTGTAGCTGTAGTATTAATATGGCAAGGAACCACTCCAACATTCATCCTTTCAACTCTTACTGTCATGAGTCACAAAATACAAGTTACTCCATTTCCTGTAACTCCAAGACAAACATAACTTGCCATTGCCCCAATTAAGTAGAAATAGGCTTTCCAGAGGAACATTTCGAGGTAATAATAGCATGTTGCCCCGCAGCCCTTTGTTATGTTGCAAATTATTGGCGCAGAGTGATGGTCGAATACGTAGTGATATCTGACAATTTGAAATAAAGTAGAACACATCATCCACTACTGCTGACCGAGAACAGCGATTACCAAATATGGGGTTAGCAAGGGCCCATGATTCATCAACGAAATGATAAGTATAGAGGGATTTACTAGAACACTTCTGCAGCAGAACCCTCTTGTTGCGACCATTATTATCGGTAACGATGGCATGAAGGGGATTCAAAGTGGTTATAAATGTCAGAATCATCTTCATCATCATCATCAGGTAGTCCAGGCAAGGCCTCCTACGAGTTTTTGAGAGGATCATAAACCTCAGCATAAGCATCAGGAGTAAAGGCTCCCCCAAAGACAAATTTTTGGCATCTAAAGAAAAGACTACAAGGGAGAGCCTACCTGCCAACAAAGCAGGTGCTTTGCTACCATGTTCAGGGTGAATAGTATCGTAATAATAAACATCATGAGGCTTAAGACTGGAGGCGCAGTGGAACCCATGTTATTAATGGGCACCTTTTCTTCAACTAGCACTAGCATAAGGCCAACAAAAAACCAGCAATTAAAAAAAAAAAATTCAATTCCAGCACCTAACTTAGGCCAAGCATAACAATCTGTGCAATAAGAAATTATTTTATCATGCCAAAACCATATGAATCAAAATCATGCCTCAATAGGAAAATTTAGAGTTAAAAATTTCAAGGAGAATCAAAATTAAAATAAAAATGCTCAAACAAGTGAAAAATAGATAATTTTTTTTTAGAGTTAAATTGATATGGAACAACAATATAATATTAAATAAGTGAAACAACAGCTGATATAAAACAATTTTAATTCATCAGATTTTTTTAGAATTTGAATTTCTTTAAATCCTCAAATTTCTATTGTCAAAAAAAATAAAATTTCACTAACATAGACCATTTTTTATTAATTTTTTATCTACAACTTCATTTTTTATTTCACTTTCAGTTTATTAATTTTTTGTTTTCTGATTTTAAAAAAAAATTCAACAATTCAAATTCTCTATTTTCAAGTTTTGAAATTGATATTTAATATATGAAACGCATTAATCAAATTGAGTTTTAAAATTATTGATTAAAAGCTTTTTACATATTAAAATCCTATTATTTTTGAAATATTAAACTTAAAAAGTTTTAATCAATTTTTTCTTTTAAAGAAATTAGGGTTATGCC